AAGTAAGCTACCACCAGAGCTCTCTCTCTTGACTATAAAAGACTTAAAAAAATTATTTTATGCATCTCAATTTTGTTCTGTATAAGGAGTTGCCAGGGGTTTGAACTCTGTACTGCGAAGTAACCCTCAGAGTTAATGAGAGTGAGCTCTAAGCATAGAATGAAAAATCCAATAATCATAATCATCATGATTACATGTGATCAAACTAAAAAGACAAACTGTGGAGGCAGAAAGAGTCTTGGAGAGAAAACATCCCAGGATTTGGTAGAATTTTTACTCTTTATCTCTTAGCTTAACTACATAAATATATGTGCCCTTTTACAGACTAGAAAATGAAAGGAAGAAACAGCCTTTGAAATAGAAATCAGTTGTATTTGGAATAGGCAATGACCATCTTCACTCAATAGTTGTTGTTGTTTATTGCCATTGAGTCAATCATGACTCATAGAGACTCTATGACCAAAAGACCTAATGTCTTTCCAAAACTACCACCATTTCTCTAAACTCATAAGAGTTTCTATAGGCATATGATTTAGGAAGTGGATGCCACTCCTGCTTCCAAATCTGTTTTGCAACTGGGAACTCCACCAAACATGCTCTACATTGAAAAACCTGGTATTTGAGAACCCAATGGCATCACAGCAAACCCAGGTTACTCCATGCAGCACGTTGACAAAGACTGATGTACAAAAGTGAAAGAATGTTCATCCAGATATAACAGAACTAGTCTCATTTAGCAGTGGTTAGGTGTTGTCAGGTCGAATAAGACTCATAGTGACCCTTGCACAAAAGACCTGAATTCTGTTCTATAAGTAACATAATTTCTGTATGTTTATAGAGTTTCCAGAGGCATGTAGTTTAGAAAATGGATGCCACTCCTGCTTCCCAACCTGAATCAGTCTGAAAGCTCCTCCATACATTGTACATGATGGGTAACCATTATGGTATTTGACACGACTATGGCACAGTGTTCAGTATCACAGCAACCCAATTTATTCAGTACAAGAAATAGACAAATGATTGCAGTATCACCTATAAAATATTCATCCTAAAATGAATACTCAGCCTCTCACCATGGGATTTTAAAGACACACCCTTAAGCAGGCCTTCACCCTTAGTCAACAGTTCAACTGACACCCGCTTTGGGAGGTGGAGAAGAACAGTAACACACATCAAATACGACCCCAAAACCTTCCCTTACATGATTACCATCAAGATGTGACTGCCATCAAATGCTAGGAGCCAACTCGTAGAGTCTCCAGGCCAGCCCCCAGACTTAGCCCCTCACTACAGGATTTTAAAGACATCCCCTTAAGCAGGCCTCTACCCTTGGTCAACAGCTCAACTGACACCCTCTTTGAGGGGGGGGAAAAACAGTTACACACATCAAACATGACCCCAAAAACTTCCCTTATGTGACCACCATCAGACACTAGGAGCCAACTCATAGGAGATGTTTATGGGCTGCTACAGCTGAAAAGTACCTTCGAGATGATTATAATCTTATCATTTTAAGAGACAAAGACAGTAAGACTTAAAGGGTCTGCCCACAGCTTTATGAATTACTGTGCAATTGCCATCAATTAAAGTGTGGCATATGAAACACACATCAAGCATAAACATGAAAATTTAGCCTTCAAGGCAAACAGCCATGTGTTAGTTTCATCTGTTATGGAGCTGATGGAGTTGATGGGTGGGGAACATGCCAACTGCCAACACACTGTCCAAACATATGCCTGAGTTCTTGCCACTCATACACTTTATAAAAAGCTTTTGAGTCCCGGACGAATGGGATAAATGGTAGACCAGATGTCCAGGGCTGACATAAAAAAAAAATAAATAAAATTTAAAAAAGGGCATCTCAAACCCACAAGCAAATTCCATCCTGAGCAGAAAGCTTGTAGAGTAAGAGTGTTTTGAAAGACAGGTGTCCTTCTCAGATGTTTCAAAGAGAATGAGGACTGTCTTCTTTAGTTTAGAGTACAGGGTCTGGTCTTCCAGCTTCAAAAAGGCCAGATGTGGTTTTGGTACCATCTGTATATTCTCTGGATGTTTGTTTACAGCACATTTTCTAAGATGGTAAGCTTCTAGACAACAGGGGCCATCTGTTTAACTAGCTTTGCTTGACTATCACTGATGACTTATAATCCACAGCAGTTAACAAGGCAGAGTTTCAGAGGGTTGACAGTCTTCCTCTCAAGACTTCTTGGTTTCTTGACTACTGTCCAGACACTGGTTTAAACAGAGATGTTGATCAAAGTACCCAGACACAGTGTTCCTTCTATTTCTCCTCCAGGAAAAGCAGGGGCCACCTGAGATTGCCCCTGTACATGGACAGAAAAACACCCAACATAGTCAATTCAATAAATGATGGATGATGGCAACAACTTTCCTGATGACTAGGTGGTAAGGGCCAAGAGAGAATAGTGTGGATTCTCATTACTTGAAGCAGGGCTCATTAAAAAGAGTTTTTCTAGGTAAATGAAAATCATCTCCATTATAACTTTAAGCCTATAAACAGGCTTCTGAAAAGAATAACCTTTTCAGGGAATATTTCAGGCAGTTAGGAACCCCCCCACTCTCTCAAAAAAAAAAAAAAAAAGAGAAGCAGGTGCTGCTGTTATAACATACATGGAGACCAGAGTTGGATCACATATTTATTCTTTAATGAGTCCATATATCCCAAGAAACTAGCACTCAGTAATCTACTCGGTCAATAGACACAAAGGAATTGTTGCCTTTGCCATGACCTCAACCTTCCCCATGACCTTGATCAAGAAATTGTCATCTCCTTGAGCCTCATACACTCCATCAAAAGCACTTTCAGGGTCATGAGGATCTGCAGTTAAGTCTCCAGGCAGTCTGTTACTTGTTAGAAAAAGTAAATGGTTTCTCTGGACAAAACAATAGACATTTCATTCAATATGACTATGAGTTGAGGCGCGGTTTCTGGAGGGAAAACAAGACTTCCCTGTTCTGACATTCAGGTACTGTGGCCATGAACATTGTGTCTAGCTACATCATGTGGAAAGCTTGGGACTTCTTAATTTCAAGCAGAAGAGGCAGGGTCAAGCCATGGTTCCTGGAAAGAAACAGCCATTCCACTTCAGGGGAACACCCCCCAAAAAGGGGAACGCCAATATACCGGTCCTTCACAAAACATTGCCTTACCTTAGGACATTAAACAGTTACAATCTAACATCTGCTAAGAAAAGACTGACATTTGATATGGCTGTGGCAGCTTCCTTTTAAGATACAAATATACTCTGGGCATGGCGGTGGGGGTGGCGGGGAAGACACCTCTGCTGTATATAGCCTTAACTTCTCCTAAACCTCAGACTTTTATTTATTCTGAGTACTGGCAGAGTTTGAGCCACACAGAGAGCTCCTTATTTCATGAAGTCTATTTTGTCTCTCAAACTAATAATCTAAGCTTTGGGATGACACGGACCATTTTATACACTTTTCTTCTCTATTTAAATTGCAGACAAATCTTGAGCATAAACTTAAAGCAAAGAATCAGAAATTAATTTTGCTAGAACCACAACTTTTCTCAGTATGGTTCTTTGGGTACACTTCTCAGCCTTTAAGACTTGAGTCATCTGAGTCAAAAGGAAAGGGCAGAACTATTCCCTGGCAGCTCCTTGCACCCCTTCACACAACCCCCCCTCAGTGTGCACAGTGTGATTCCTGGTTATGTAGCTTCAGAGTTTAGGTCTCTGGCTTTGGAAGATAATTGTCAGCCATTTAATCTTCTTAAATAAATTCTTTTGCCATTTAAAGAAGTTAGAGTGGATTCTAATGTCTACAAATAAGAACCTTAGACATGATCAAATATAGCTACTAAGAAAAAGATTAACAGATTTCTTTATCTCAGGACTACTTGAAACCATAGTGTATCTTGAAACTCCAAGGGGGAAATGAGTGAGCTCTCTTGGTGTAGTGGTAAGGAGATGTGCTGCCAATCCAAAGACACATGGTGCAAATACACCAGCTGCTCCATGAGAGAAAGATGGGAAATCATCTCTCATGTGATTTATTGCTTCTAAAAACCTACTGGAGGGTCAGCTAGGAACCTGTTCCAAGTTGAAGTCACATGAAATCAACACCACCACCTATCTTTGCCTAACTTTAAGGGCTAAATGCATGCCAGAATGATCAGTCTCATTAGGAGCTTGCAAAGAATCCTACGTCTAGATGAATTTTCACCCTTCGATCCTAATCAGAACTGGTCTAGCCTATAAAGGTTACTCTTGACCTGTTCCCTGACTCTAAGGTACTGCACTGGCCAAATATTTGTCCCTGAAGCAGATTCTTCTTTAAAATTGAAAAGCAAGACAGAGGAGGCTACATTTTCTCCTTAGGCTAATAATAGCACTTCATTCATTCCATTCTTATTTCTTTTAAGCCTTTGCCTGTGAGTCGGTGTTTGTTTTGATTATTATCTCAACACAAAACTTGACGGAAAGAAGTCCTTTTATGAAATGGGGCAGACCATAAGTAGGAAGGACTGAGAGAATCTGCAGGAAAATAGCTCATTCTGTGTTTCACCAACAAGTCATTCTGTCCTTATTGTCTACACTTTATTCTCAGAGACTTTTTTTAAACAATTCCATTATGTTCAAGCTTTCACATTCTCCTATTTACCGCATTGAAAATCTCTCTTGTACCTGTTCATTGGGAGGATAAGGAACATTCAAAATATGTACACCAAGACCAGGGCTATCTGACTCCCAGCTCTGTCAGTTACTAAGTATGCACACTTACATAAGTGATTAATCTTTCTGAGCCTCAAACATCCTTCAGTCAGATCGGTAAACAAGAGCTTCAGGAGGAAGCTTGCTCCATGGGGAAAGTCACTGGCAATTGGCAATTGGACAAAGGGGTGAGTAACCAAGTATTTTAGAAAAGGAGAAGCCATGGAAGTGCTGCCAGAAGTTGGACATTGCCGGTCTAAGTTCTGACACCAAAGAAAGAGATGAAGAGACTTCACTACGTACGGGACTCCAATCTCAAAGATGTTGTTCTGGATCAGCTGCTTCCCCAACATAATGATGCTGAGCTGAATGCAGAGCTCCATTAGGCAGCCCCCTGGAGCACACTGAGGAGAGGAAGAGAAAAAGGAAGGGCTGTTAGACCAAGGGAAGCTCTGATAAGCAAGAGTGTAAATTAAGCATACTAGGATGGAGATAGGGACAGGGAACTCTGCTGGGTGACTGGTAAAAAGCTGCACTCCAATTCCAAAGACACAGAGTTCAAATCCATTAGCTGCTCCATGAGAGAAGGATGGGCAATCTCCTCCTTTGAGATTTACTGCCTCTGAAAACCCACTGGAGAATCAGCTTTGAGTTACTTCTAACTCAATGGCATTCAACAATAATGCAATGGGGCTAAGGAAAGGGGCCAGGAGGGTGCACCTATAAACATCAATGAAACTTCAATGCCTTTACTTGCCTCTTCCATTCGGTAGCCGTCAAACACATAGACATAGCTTCCAGGCCTGCCTACAAACCTGAAACCAAAAAATATGAGCAAAGTTAGGAAAAGAAAGAGAATGTTTAAATACATACATCCTAGATAAATGAGCCACCCAACCATGTCCTCCTCAGCAGTACTGCCTAGTGTGGGTGCCAAATCCCCCAGGGACAGGAGTTCACACCCTTGTATCAGCTAGTAATCACCTATAACACTTGGGATTCACCTCTTTACCTAGTTGAATCCCAGACAACAGGGGTTGAACTGGACAGACTGAAGGTGAGTTTGGTGTGACACTGGGAAGGATACCAGTACATGTGTTTGCATGTGCACACGTGTGTGAATGAATGAACACGCATCACAGGTGTATACCACCTCTGAGCCTAAGCACAAAGAAGCTTGAATTCTCTAGAAACATATTGCTTGTATCTTGTTCTTTCAACCAGTATCAAGAAATGAGTTCTGATTTCCCAGAAATTGACTGGCTAAAGCTGAACATGGTGGATATTTCCTGGGATAAAAAAATGTAAGAAGTTTTGAGCAAGAGGTAAAACCTAATCATGAAATCCGTCAAGCGGTCAGAAGAGCCCTTCCTTCTTGATAGGTCATCTTCTTGCTCACTTCTTGAAATGCGGTCACCCCTTTGAGACTCAGTCTAAACCTCCTCTTCCCCGTGAAATCTTCTTGTTGTAGAGACACTTATAATTAAGTGCTCGCTCAACATTTATTTGCACATCTTATAGCATAGCACATATTGCATATTATAGCATGTTTTTGCCAAGACCATTTCTTCCAACATATCACATGCTTCTCTAAGGGCTGGAATCCCATTTTTCTGCCTGGAAGATCATATGTGCACAATTTATTATTGAAATTCTACTTCAATAGAAATCCTAGTATAGTGTCTAATTGGAAGGTTTTCTTCTGATACTATTTCATTATAGTCAGGGGAGAGGTCCTGGGAATGGGGTTGTGGTTGGATCTCCAACATGAAATTACCATGAATGGACTAGCTAGCCCTTGCTGTAATGTCTGCCCAGTGAGCTTTTCATTTTAAAGAGGCTGGCCTGGCATAATTGATTAATGTCTACTGGAACTGCTCCTTGTAGGTAGCCAACTGGCCATAAAATGTTTGAACTATATATGTGTGTGTGTATGTAAATATATATATATTAATATATATGTATATAAATATACATGTGTGTATATAAATATGTATATGTATATATATGCAGACTATGTATATATAGACACAATCTGATACATACACACCATACATATATGTTGTTGTTATTGTTGTTAAGTGTCATCAAGTTGTAGAAGACTCATAGTGACTCTATGAACAAAAGTCTCGAACATGAAAAAAATTCATCTTTTCCCCAAGTTCGTAGAGTTTCTGGAGGCAAGGTATTTCAGAAGTGGATGCCACTCCTGCTTCCATGCCTGTCTTAATTCGGGAGATCCACCAAGCACTGTCCACCACAGGTAACCATTATCATATCTGACACATCACTGTCACAGTTTTTAGCATCACAGCAACCATGAGTTGCCTTTCTACAGCAAATTGCCAGACCATTGCTGTACTACTTAGAAGAATATTTGACTGAAACAGTAAAAACCACAAAAGCCTTTTTGAAAAGGAGGCCAAATCTAATGCACTTACACTTTTAAGCAGTGGCCACATTCAAGTCTCAAACAAAAGCCAGAAAACAAACCTTAGCAGAATCTGCCTAGCTTCTTCATCAACACAACAATTTGTGTTATGCAGATGACATAACCCTGCTTGCTGCAACTGAGGAGGACCTGAAGCACTTGCTGCAGAAGGTCAAGAACTACAGCTTTCATATGGATTGAAGCTCAACATCAAGAAAACAAAGATTCAAATCACTGGGCCAGTTGGCAGCATCATGATAGATGGTGAAGAGATTGAGATTATTCACAGCTTTAGTTGGTTTAGTTCCACAATTAACACTCTTGATATCAGCAGTCAAGAAATTAAAAGACAAATTGCACTGGAAAAGTCTGCTGTCAGAAACCTCTCCATAACACTGAAGAGCAACAAAGTGAGTCTAGAGACTAAGCTATGACTGATCCAGGCCATAGTCTTTGCAATTACTTGCTATGCACCAGAAAGCTGGACAATGATTAGGGATGATAGAAGAATTGAGGCCTTTGAGCTATGGTGCTGGAGAAGAGTATTGAATATTCCATGGACTGCTAGGAGAATAAACAGGTACATCCTGGAAAAGGTGAAACCAGGTTGCTCCTTGGAGGCAAGGATTCTGAAGATTCATCTGACCTACTTTGGACATGTTGCAAGGAGGAGATAGATAGATAGATAGATAGATAGATAGATAGATAGATAGATAGATAGAT